TGTTGAAACAGAATGTAGCAGTATAAAAAAATGTATAAATGAAACAGCTTCTGAACATGTAGGGATAGAGAGCAAGAACAAAAAAGAAGAATGGTATAATCAAGACTGTCATAACATGTTAAAAAAGAAGATAGCAATAAGACAAAGGTGGATCAGAACAAATAGACAAGAATATAAAGAAAAATACAACAAATTAAGGACAGAATGTAAGAAACAAATAAGAAAAATTAAACGAACCTGGTTAAATGATAAGATAAATGAAATAGAAAAAGAAATCACAAATAGAAATACAAAAGCATTTTATAAGAAAATTAGCGAGCAGAACAAAACCTTCAAAGGAAAGATAAAAGGCATAAAGGATAGAAATGGAAAAGTATCAGAAAATGACAAAGAGTTTAAAGAAATCTGGACTGATTATTATTATACCTATATATCTGGACGAATTATTAACAGTGCAAGAGGACGAAGACTTAAATGAAAATGTGGAAGAAGAGACCACGATGATAGAAACCGAGCTAGAAAAACCAAAGAGAGATGAAGTTGAGGAAATTATAAACAGTAGTCGCAACGGTAAAGCACCAGGTATAGACGGTATAAACATGGAACTAATAAAATATGGTGGACATGAACTTCGAGAAAAAATATACCAATTAATAAAAGTCATATGGGACGAAGAAAAGATGCCAGAAGAATGGCACAAAGGACAAATTATCACAATCCATAAAAAAGGAGACCAACAAATGTGTAATAATTATGGAGGACTGACATTATTAAACACAGCGTATAAAATCATGTCAACCTTAATACAACGAAGACTGGCCAAAGCGACAACAAATATCATTGGACAGTATCAATGCGGATTTATTAGGGGAAAATCAACAACAGATGCCATACATACGGTAAAGCAAATTATGGAGAAAGCTTATGAATATAAAATAGAAATTGAACTGCTTTTGATAGACTTCCAACAAGCAATTGATTCAATAAACAGAGCGAAATTACTTACAGCTATGAGAGAAATGAGAATACACAACAAATTAAGACGATTATTAAAAATGACAATAAGCAAAACCGTAGTAACTGTAAAAACACAAGAAGGAGACACAGAAGAATTTGTTATAAATAAAGGTGTACGTCAAGGAGATTCATTATCTGCAACTCTGTTTAATCTTGCCCTGGAATATATAGTCAGAAAAATCAACAAAGGTACACTTAGAACGAGAGAGGGACAAATATTGTGATAATAACAAAGAACAGAAAAAAAATGAAAAGTATGTTAAAAGAATTGGTAGCAGAAGGGAAAGTAATGGGATTAGTAATAAATCAAGAAAAAACAAAAATAATGAGATTTGACAAAAAATATGAAAACAAAAAGGTTAGACTGGGAGAATATATATTTGAAGAAGTAGAAAAGTTTAAGTATTTGGGAATATTATTAGCAAACAATGGAGAACGGGAAACAGAAATTAAAGAAACGATAATTACAGCAAATAAGACATACTATGCAAATAAAAAGCTTCTAAAAAATAAATTACTGAGCAAAAAATCGAAAATGAAAATATATAAAACAATAATTCGACCGACTATGATGTATCCTGCCGAAACCCTTAGTATGACAAAAAAAAACAAGAGGAAGACCTTAGAATACTAGAAAGGAAAATACTAAGAGCAATATTAGGACCAATAAAAATTAATGAAAACCAATATAGACAAAGAACGAATCATGAACTACTAAACGAAATTAGAGAGGATATAGTTTCTAAAATAAAACAGCAAAGGGCAAAATGGCTAGGACATATATGGAGATCAGGACCATCTACGACAATATTCTCAATATTCGAATGGACACCAGCTGGTAAACGAAGACGTGGAAGACCAAGATCTACATGGCTACAAGAAGTAACAAACGATCTCAACAGGGCGGGCGTACGACAATGGAGAGAAAAAACCAGAGATCGGAAACAGTGGAGAAAAATAACAAGAAAAATTAAATGAAGAAAATGAGGACTGTTCGACGTCGTAAAATAGATCTAGAGAGCTTAAGCGGCGTATCCCCGTACGGGGTGTTTAGCCACAATATATGTATATAAGATATATTGTAACATTGTTTGTTCAAAAACAAACAAAGTTTGTAACACTATATTTTTCCAAATCTAATGTAACTTACTGTATATATCTTATGAAATGTAATAATCTTATAATACTCCAAATGTTTTTGTACCCGTGTCAATGGATATATATCGAGACACGTTAATTTCATTAAATAAAAAAAATATGTAATACTAAAAAAAATTTGATGTGGTATTTATATGGATAAAAGGGCATGCCGGTATAATGAGTAATGAAAAAGTGGACTGGTTGGCCACAGATGGAAAAACAAAGGGTGAGATCCTAACTCAGATTTTATCGAGTGATGCAATAAAGGACGTTAAAGGTAGAACAGTATTCCGAGCATGTCAAAACATTTATATTTTTATTTGCATCAATAATTCCCGTTTCCATTCGAATATATATTTAAATATAACCTACCATAGCGGAATACTACTAATATTTTGAGATTAAAAACTCGACATAGAAAATATGCGGCACATCTGCAAAAATTAGGAATATTGAATTTACCAGGTTGCTTTTGTGATAAAGTTTCTATTAGAGATTTGAATCATATCTTTCTTGAATGCAAAATTAATGAAATATATAGACCAATTATATTATAGTCTACAACAAGAACAAGTTGTTTTCTAATTACTGTAGAGTATTTACTAAGTTTCCATAATATGAGAATAATTAAATTAGAGAGTGAGATGAGGGTAATATTTTAAAGAAATACATACTGTCATTTAAATGAAACTGTAATATTAAAAAAAAATTAAAATATCATGCTAAAAAAAATTACAAATAACACTCTGTAGCTAACGGACCTGGTTCCCAGCCATATTTCCTCACACACACAGATACAGAAATCAACAATAAACTATAATAACGTGGATGTAACGTTACATACGATAACGGACAGGAAAAAAAGATTTTTAATAAAAAGAATTTTAATATTTTCACATATATTAGAAGCATTTCGTTAAATTCCAACGAATTTTAGGAAAAGTTTTACACCGAATTTTTATGTTCCCACTTTTTTCTCCGCCTATGGTGTAAGGGCTATAATATGCTAGATAATGTCCAACATTGGTCGATGTCCCACATACCTGTCAAACATTGTTTCGTCCGACTATCTTCATTATCGAATAAGGACTAAAGTCAAGCTCTAATCAAAGCCCAGCAAATGAATGAAGGTACATTAACCTGATTTGTCAAATCTGATGTAGGTGAAGGTACAGATTAGAAATTAATACAGATATAGATTTTTCTCTATATATTATATTTATATAATACAGAGTAAATTACTTGTGAAACTTTTTGTTTGTTTGACTATTATATAAATTCTTCTTTTATTTATTTTATTTATATTTAGAATTTATGGATAATAAGCGAAAAGTAGAGTGGTTCTATGGCAAGTAAATCATGCAATGTTAAATTTATAAATATAGACAAACGTTAAAAAAAGGTTATTCTTATCAACGGTAACAAACATGAACAACTAATTATTAGTACATGTTGTGTGGTCAAATAAACGTCAAATCAAAAGGCACATTATTTTGAAGCTCTTACAAAAAATATCAATTTTAAAGGTTTTTTCTTCACTTTTACGGTATAACTTGTAGTGGTAAAGACACATTAAACTAGTGGTCTGTAAGAAAGTGTATATTTCGTGTATATTAAGTGAAATCTAAAAAAAATTCTACATGGAAGAAATTTCACCGAAGAAATTTCACATTTTATATAGAATTAGAAGATAGGATGATGGAATTTGAAGAATTAAAAAAGAATAGCAACATTAGAGTAAATGATAAGGTAACAAACGGAAAAAGCCAAACAACTAGCAATAACGAGGTAAGTAACCCATTTGATTTTAATAACGATGCAAATTTGACACAATTTAATAAAATAGATAGATCAGGTAATCCAGATTTAAATAAAGTTATAAATTTAAGATTAAATAATAGACATAAAATATGAGAAAATGCACCATATATACCTAGTACATATAGAAAATAAAAACGGTAAAATAATATCACACAAATTACGGTAGTTGGTAGGAATAAAATTAAGGTAGAACTTAATTTTATTCCTACCTACATTTTATTAGTGCTAATAAATTAATTGAATCTGATAATTTAAAAAGCAAAAAGTACGAGGCATATATTCTAACGTTTTTTACTCAAAGGAAAGAAGTTATAAAATCTGTAGATAAAGAGAAGATGATGATCATAGGAGCAAGTGAGGTTGAAATTTAAATGAGAGGTTATATGTTGCGCATCACCATCCCACTACATCCCTTCTGTAAAGAAGGCACTTCTATAAATAACCACTGTTGATTTCCGGAATAAAACCATTTTAAAGGGTTATTTAGAAAATTATAATAGATTTCTTCTGGGATGATTAAAAAGTAACTGTTGTAATAGTGAACAAATTTCAATAGTATTTCGTTGAAAGACGGAATTATTTTATTGCTCTATTTGCAAAATATTAAGATAGAGATTAAATATTATATATATAGTACAGTAGAGTATTAAATTTCTTAATGACTATGTAATAATCATAAATTATATATTTTACAAAACAAAGATGTGTGGGTTGCATTGATACAATAAAATCTACTCGGATTGAATCATTACGAGTAGAAACTATGAAACCTTCTTTAAAGTTAAGAAAGCAATTATTAGCAGAAATAATTGTGGTAAAAGTGTAAAATTACAAACTTACTTACCAAAAATTCGAAAAATACTCTCTGATAAAAGTAAACGAAGGGTAGGGATAAGGACGATGATAATCGGATCAACTGTCAACATTTTCCAATGAATTGGACTTATCGATGAAAAATACTTAAATAGCGACGCATTCCTGTTACGTTATAGCAATGGCGATTACGATAAAAGAAACTATAATAAATTTAAAAGAGTATTTTATTTTCAGATAATTACGAGCTATTACGTTTAAAACAACTGTATTTATTTATCATAACACCAGTGTACCAATTCCCAAATCTTTCCAGTGCTCCACCAGATTGTGTTGAGTCTCATTTTGATGAATTCACCAACGGTGTTACCGATCAATCCTGTATCCAGGGCTGTAATGATACCTGTACCCAAAACTGCTTCAACAGGCTGGTTGAAAATACCAAGACCTTCTACTTTTGTCTGAAAAATATCAGTAGATTGAATGAGTAACGTTCAATATATTTATTCTGATTTTTGATGATGCTAGTATGTATTATTCAATAAAGCTGAATTATAACGTGACTGTAAACAGAATGAAATAAACGTCAAAGTTTTTCAATTCACAATTTTTTTAGATCTTATAGTTAATATATATATGTATATATATATATATATATATATATATATATATATATATATATATATATATATATATGTATATATTATATATTATATAATATATAAAATTAATGTTTCTTGGGTTTAGGTTCAATACAGATATGTTAGATGTGGAACTAGATTTTATTTTCCATTGCAGTCAATCAACGTTTCGGCAGGAAACCCTTGCCTTTGTCAAGATTCTAAAATGTGTATATATATATAAGGACAAACAGATATTGTAATATAAATGTAGATATATATATATATATATATATATATATATACATATATATATATATATATATATATATATATATATATATATATATGACTTACCAAAACGTAAAACGTGACACAGACATTAACGAACTGACAACTGACATATATGAGTTGATATCTGATATCTCATTGTTTACTGTCATTAGTATATAAATATTTTTATATGGGCGTATCGTTGATGTTTTCAAAAAAGGTAATGTGGAGATATGTTATGACTTTAAGAGCTTTTTATGAATTTATATTATTATTGTTTAAATCAGATTGAAATATATTTTATTTAGGTTTTGTGTATCTTTTTTGTCATTTATTGCGTTGGTGTTTCTTTTTATTTCTAGTGATTCGTATATCTTCCTCTTCTTTTTGTTTTTTTCTGTTTTTAAAATTGTGATGTTTTCAAAATCAAATTTATAAAATTAAACACCAACGCAATAAATGACAAAAAAGATACACAAAACCTAAATAAAATATATTTCAATCTGATTTAAACAATAATAACATAAAATCATAAAAAGCTCTTAAAGTCATAACATATCTCCACCTTACCTTTTTCGAAAACATCAACGATACGCCCATATAAAAATAATTATATACTAATGACAGTAAGCAATGAAATACCAGATATCAACTTTTATATGTCAGTTCGTTAATGTCTGTGTCACGTTTTACGTTTTGGTAAGTCATATATATATATATATATATATATATATATATATATATATATATATATATATATAATGAACTAGAAGTATTTGCTGACAACAAGGAAGTAAATTTTCAATATTGGGTTTGCAGCAATAAAAATGATACGTGTACTCTTTTAAATTTTTATTCCGAGCTTTCGGACATGGTTATGTCCTTCATCAGGGAGCTACAAATATGATGAATAGTTTGTTACAAGTTTGTATAATTAATTAAAGATTCGCTACTTACAAACTTAATGAGGTTGGATCATCAATGATTTTCTACCATGTCGATAAAACTTATCACAGTCTGTCATATTATTATATAAAACTTATTCCTATATTTAAAATTTTTAAAAATTGCTATACAATCACAAACACTTGTGTATAATAAGTAAGTGTTTGTGATTGTATAGCAATTTTTAAAAATTTTAAATATAGGAATAAGTTTTATATAATAATATGACAGACTGTGATAAGTTTTATCGACATGGTAGAAAATCATTGATGATCCAACCTCATTAAGTTTGTAAGTAGCGAATCTTTAATTAATTATACAAACTTGTAACAAACTATTCATCATATTTGTAGCTCCCTGATGAAGGACATAACCATGTCCGAAAGCTCGGAATAAAAATTTAAAAGAGTACACGTATCATTTTTATTGCTGCAAACCCAATATTGAAAATTTATTTATATATATATATATATATATATATATATATATATATATATATATATATATATATATATATATATATATATATCTGTATACATATTTTACAATATCTGTTTGTCCTTATATATATACACATTTTAGAATTTTGACAAAGGCAAGGGTTTCCTGCCGAAACGTTGATTGATTGCAATGGAAAATAAAATCTAGTTCCACATGTAACATATCTGTATTGAACCTAAACCCAAGAAACATTTATTTTATAGTAAATATAATACAGTTCAAGAAACTCAAAACTACTATATATATATATATATATATATATATATATATATATATATATATATATATATATATATATTTATATAAAATAAAGTTAAATGTAACATTCCGCTTAATAGATATCCCTCTTAGATTAATAGATACCTCTTATTAGACACAGAGGTATTTTAGTCAATTTAATTATCCACAAATTGTGCAACCAGAGTTTGTTATATACCAATAACAGAAGATGGTATCTTCAATTTAAACTGGGTTTTGTTGAATTTTAACTTTTGTATACAATAATAATTTGGATATTGGTTTATAATTCAAAATGCTTAATAATGTGTTAATAAATTTTATAAAGAGAAGAAACATTTTTTTTGTCAGAAAAATCGAAATAAGTGAGTATAAATAATACAGGTAAAACTTGAACTAGTTTAATGATACTTTGAGAGAAATGCGTAAGGTTCTTCAGCTTATAATAGCATTATATAAAATAAAATTAATACAAACGATAAGCAAAGAAAAACATACGGCAACTCGCAACAAGCTATGTGGAAACTTAATTGTAATAGACTTAAAAATAATGCCACTAACATTTTTTCTTAACTAACGGCAAATAGTTTTAAACTTCTGCTCTACTGCTGAAAAAGTAATGCATGAACCTAAGGTTTTTCAGCTAATTCTTAATAAAAATATAAAGAATATATCACATAAAAATATTAAGTTGTTTTCTTTTTTATCCAGTGAACGTTAGTGACGTTGATTTAACTATTTTAGAAATCAAAAATAGTAACAGCAAAGATCGTGATGGACTTAACACAATAATTATTAAAACTATTATAGATTATATTTTCTAAACTATAATAATTTTAATAAATCTATCAATATCTTGTAATAATTATCCTTTATAAGTTTTAAAAACTGCAAAGGTAATCCTGTGTTTAAAAATAAAGGCTCTACTGATCAAAACGTCCTCTTATCAAAACGTTCTGAAATTTTAAAATATTTTGGAAGGATTTGAAAAATATCTGGACACTTTTGAATCATTTTTAGATCTCACTAGGCATATCATTGTGTCACACATAGTATCCTGCTAAGAAAACTTCTTTATTATAATTTTCTTCTTTATTATAATTTATAGTAATACTATTCAACTAATTGATTCGTATGTATCAAATCGTGATCAGTATGTTCACGTCAACCAATGTAAGTTTTAATTTTTTTTTTGATATATGGTGTTTCTCCAGGTTTGGTTTTGGATCCGAATATTCCTCATTCATATTTATGACCTGGTAAACTCTTAAAATGATATGGATAATAATTTTTTAGTTGCTGATAATACTGCTTTTTATGTAAGCTATCATCCTTCTGAATTTGACACTCTTGATTTCCAAACATCGGACAAAAATTTATTCAAAACGAATCGTCTCTCTTTAAACAACTCTAAGTCACAAAGTGTTAATTCCACTTTAAGAAATATCACTGTTCTTGAACACATTGCTCTACCACAGTATGCAAGCAAGGCGAAGTTTCTGAAGGTACACGTGAATTCAAGATTAACTGGGAACAACAAATAGTTAATTTGTCGAAAAAGCTTTCTCGAAAACTTTTTATTTTTAGGAATGTTAAACAAGTGACTTCAGAGAAACTATTTTAACAGCTTATTATAGTTACTTTTATTCTTATCTAATTTAAATTCTCTCCTAGGGTCACTCTTGTCATATTAATAAAGTATTAGAAAAATAAAAAGCGTGTTTGTTATTGTCTCTGTGCTTGGTTATAGAGCAGACTGTAGAAACTGCTTTAGAGCTTTTAAAATTTTAACTTTACCGTCTAAATATATTGTTCAGTGTCTGTTGCACATTGAAAAAAAATTTTCGACGAATATAATGTGAATGTAGATTTTCACAAACTTATCCGACTAGAAACAGCAGTAATCGTGTATCACAAGTTGACCGTCTTGAGAGATCCAAGTTATTTGGCCATTAAGTATTATAACATAGTGCCAGCTAGAATACCAGCTCTTAACGTGTATCAATTCAAAGCAAAATTTAAGATGTACCTTTTAGTAAATGTTTTTTTATTTTGAAATATTTCTACATAATTGAATTCTCGAGTTAATTTATTTTTTTCGATTTCTTAACGATTTTCACATTATTACAAGTAATGAAGATAGTACCTGTGGATTTTCAAATTGTTGCCTAATATATATTTTATAATTAAAATTGGATTTGGATAAATTTATTGATTTTGGATATATTAGTGTTTCCTCAAGTTTTGCAATTGAAGAAGGAATATTGAAGAAGGTTATTGAAATCTTTGAAGAAGGAATATTGCTATTGAGTAAAAACGTTTTGGTCGTTTAGTATAATAGAGATCATGTTAACGACGAATCTTCATAAATTTATTTCAGATATTACTATTTTTTATTCCCAGTTTTATATTTCTACAGCAGGTCGCTTATCAAATTGTGAGATTTATTTAGAAACTTGCGATAGCGAAACTTAACCTAATAAAATTATTTTAAACTTACATCAAGATGTTCTACGGTCCATTTAATTTGAGCATCGTTAACGGCTTGTGTGAGGTTGAAATATGGTTTTGTTACGTTGATCCTTCCTTTCCAATGTGAATTGGTCCATTCAAATCTAAAAATTGTTTACGTTATTAAAAATTATGAACCACAAAATTCTTTCTTGTATTTTTCGTCAACAAAAGTTATAAACAGTACGCTCGTCTCGGCTTTTGATACTTTTGTGCTTAATTGTAAATATCGAAAGTAGAGCTAAGGTATAACAACGTTATTTAAGATTGCAAGTTTAAATATTCCTTATTAGTTAAACTGAAAATCACATCCTAAACCGGATTTAGTAGTTATTCGTATATTATTTCATCGATCCTAAATAATTATAATTTTATCAATAATGAAAAACAACAAACAAAATTGTTTTTTGCTGGAACATAGAGATACCTTTTTCTGCTACTGCGCAATGATATTACGTCTCTTCAAATTGCTAATGTTATTTCTTAGCTGCTGCACAGTAGAAATTTCGTACTAAAGGTTAAAAAGGCATTAAAGAAAAATTATCCCCCTCCCCATCGAAATGGTAATGCAAATACTTAATTGTTTATTTCCCAACAAATAGCTCATAAAATTCAAATCCAAAATTCCAAAAAAATTTAAATGCACAGCACCAACTTCTTTTGACTTGCTTAAATTATTTATTAATAAAAACTCTATAATATTTTTATTAAACTATGATCAACTAATTGTGCTAATTAAAAATATTCAAGAGAATCAATGACCTATAAAATTTGTTAAGGAATTTACATTCGATAGTCTTGGCCTAATAAATTTCTTGGCTATACAGATTGAACGAAATAAATTCGGAACATAGGAATATAATGTATTTCGGCTCAATTCTGCTGTAGCTGGTTGGCCAACAAAAGATTGTCAAATAATTATATTATAAAAAATCCCATACTTCAGCGGTCTGCTGGATTCTGAACTCATAAAAATTGAAAGCTACACATAAATCTACGATTATGCTGTCAAACCAGTTATAGTCCAGGAAATGTAGCATTTCACCTCGCAATTTTTTCGTGCGGCGTGGATTGACTTGAAATTTAACAGAAGGTAGGTAATAGCCTAAGGATCAAAATCTATATCGAACCAAAGTGCGCCAAAGCCTAGGGGGTAGTTGCCACCCCATCTCCGGGGTGAAATTTTTTTTTACGTTTTAACTACAGGTTTACATTAGAAAAGTGATTCTAAACAAAAAATGTACTATACATTTTTTTTATAAAATGATATTTTTCAAGTTATTCGCGATTGAAAGTAACAACTTTTAGACGAAAAAATCCACGTTTTTAATCGATTTTTCGCGAATAACTCGAAAATGGTGCATTTTATCAAAAAAATTGTAGAGGACAAATTTGTAGCTTTTAAAAAGACAAATACAATTACAAATACAATATCAATGTTCAGCGGTTTTCTTCAAATGCCAAATTTGAAAGATTCAAAGTCAAATATCGGGAAAATGATGCATTTTTGGAAGAAAACTCACAAAACCTTTTTTAAAGAGCATAAATAGACCTATCATAAAAAAATAAGGTCAATACCTCATTTTTTACGAAAAAATCGAGGAAAACAACACCCTAACCACCCCCATAATTAAAATCGATCTTCACCCTTCTGCAATTCCCTTTCTAGATGCATTGTTAATACGTCCAAGAAGTTTGACCCATTTAAAATGCTTAGTTTTAGAAAAAGTACAGCTTAAAGCGAGAAACGATTTACAATTTCATATTTTTTACCCTTCTTTTTTTAAATATGCCCGAAAATACTGAATATATGAAAAAAATAAAAATTACCAAATTGTAGCTTTTTTAATGACTAAAATTATCCTTTGTTCAGATTTGTTGTACAATGAATATTTGGCGAGATATAGCCGTTTAAAGCATCGATTTACGATCAACCACCATCTTTTTCGGGCCCTTTAAACTCACCCCATTTAAAAACCAAGGGTTCCAAAAAGATTTAATTCACAGATCCTTGTAGCTATTAAAAACCTCTACAAATCGTTTTTGAAGAAACATCTTTCGTTAAAAATTAAAGGAAATACGTTAAAAAAACCAGTTAATTTTTTTCCGGAAAATTCCATTAGTATAGTACAGTACATTTCGGAGCATAATAATCTACAAAACCGGTATATTAGCTAGTGGGGCGTTATACATTCGAAATTTTAAGCGTTCTTATTTTGAAATCCCATACAACAGAATAAAACATCTGCTCATATGTCTATGGCTTGGCAATGAAAATATCAGAGCAACAGATTGGGGATGGTTTTCCAAAGATGGTGTGTTATTACCCGTACGCATGAACCAACAACCTGCACCCGATAAATTTTTGAAAATTATTTTTTGCCAATACAAAAAAGGATGCGGCGTTTCATATGGGTGCAGAAAAGTTGGTTTATACTGTAACTCTACTTGTTCTGGGTGCTCAGGTGAAGGGTGCAATAACAGTCCACCAATAATTGAGGAAGATGATGATGACATAGATCACGATGAAGATGTAATTGATGACGAATAAAATTAATATTATAATTAATGTAAATATTTTCAACTATTTATGTAAATGTATAAGAATATATGGTGCCTTTTTATGTTGATAATTTTTTTTGTATTTAATTCTACTTTTTTCAATTTATATCTTATAAATTAGTTTATAAAAACTTCAATGTTGTAAAGGGTGATTTTCAAAAGTTGAAAGTTGCAAAATTTTGGCAAAAAATTGTTTTCGCCTATAGCACTCATAACAATTGATTTTTAAGGGTTGAAAATGTATGAATTTGTATTTTAAAGTATAAAAAACTCACTATTTAACTAATCCAAACCAAATTTCACTCATCTTAGGATTTGTAATATTATTTTACAATTTTTGAAAATTAGGGGTAGTTTTCACCCCTAAGAACAATCAGGGTTCATCGGCATGACATAAACTATAAAGCAGAGGTGAGTTGAGGTTAATTCCAAATTTTTATGCAAGTCGTTTCAAGGTGAAATCATTTTCTTCGCATTACTAATTTTTTTATATTAATCTCTAATGAGGGTCGCTTTTTAAGGGTTGAAATATGATGGAACTTTATTGAAAAGCACGAAACTATCATTATTTAATTAATTCAAACCAAATTTTACCCATATTCAGGTTTAATATGTTATTTTATAATTTTTGACAATTAGGGGTAGTTTTCACCCCTAAGAACAATCAGGGTTCGTCGACATGACATAAACTATAAAGCAGCGGGTGAATTGAGCTTAAATCCAAATTTTTATCCAAATCGATACAAGGCGAAATCATTTTTTTAGAATTAGTAATTTTTTACATTAATCTCTAACAAGGGTTGCTTTTTAAGGGTTGAAATATGATGCAACTCTATTCAAAAGTATAAAATAATCATTATTTAATTAATTCAAACCAAATCTTACCCATATTCAGGTTTAATGTTATTTTATAATTTTTGACAATTAGGGGTAGTTTTCACCCCTAAAACCCTTCAGCGCACTTCGGTTTGATATAGATTTTGATCCTTGGGCTATTACCTACCTTCTGCTAAAATTTCAACTGGATACATGCAGGACGAAAAAATTGCGAGGTTTTAACTTTTTTCGAGCTTCAATTCCTGAACTATTACGCCTCCTTAGACAAACCCGTCTTACGCAAACAACTTTGTTGCGAGACAGATAGTTGAACGATATTTTATACAATGTCTATACCCAGGTATGGATTTATTTTTGTCCAAGTTTTATATTGGTCCACTATTTTAAATGCAGTTTAAACAGACATGTATTAAATTGTATGTTCCGTTTTAATTTGGTTCAATCTGTATCTTATTCATACATATCAGGCAATCCTGCAGGACATTGTTTCTTCCTACTAAAAAATAAATACAAGTAGATCACATGTCATTGTAGATCACATGCCATAAGTCAATTAAAAAAATATCCGTAAGGGGCGCTTACGTAGAGGTTTGGTATTAAATCATAATTTCATATTATTCCTTAGATTCAGATACAACATTCAATATATGTTTGCGGATTTGCAGCCATAGTTTCACAATGTTTAACATTTCTGAAATTAGTGAATTATTTACTCTATAGGTGAGAAAAAATATTTCTAACTCTCCCAATAAATATATAAGAAGGACTATAATAAAAAAATTAACGCGACATATATCCTACATCATTTCTCTAAAGAATAATGTGGCGTGGAAATGGATAAACTTGCATTTATCTGTTTTAATAAAATTTTAAGAAGTCTCAGTATATATTTATTTTATCTTAAACAAATTAGTTATAATGTACAAAATTTTGTGCTTGATAACTTCGTATTATTTTTAGTTTTTAAGATAAAAATACCAATAAGAGAATCTTAAACAACATTCAAGTGGCTTGTAATAAAATTTGGTAAACAGTTTTCAACTTTGAAGTAATATACTTCTTCAAGAAATTAACGCACCACTCTAATAAATCAATTTTATTTGTAAACAGACAAAGAATAAAAAATAAAACTTCACCAGATTTATTCTACATTTTATTAGTAATTATAACAATTTGTCTAATCATTAGAAAATGGTAAAGTACAGGAGAAAAATAAATAAAATAAAACGGAAAATACTAAAAAAATAATGATAAGAAAAGTAAACTAAAATATGAAAAAAGTCTTAACGACTGTTTTCACCTCTACTACGTATAACAGCCTCACATCGTTGGCCCATACTTAAAATTAATTGCCGTATTTTATTTTGGTCTATAAGTATATTAGTATATCTTATAGTTCTTTCTCTCCATATTTGGATCAGCCTCTCTCCCACTTTTTGTACAGTTGTTTGGTTGGACCGCTGTCGCTCTTAATCGCCTACCAAGGATATCCCAGAAATTTTTAATCGAACTTAAATCCGGAATATGTGCTGTCTATTCCATAGTGTTAATTTCTACCTCTTCTAGATAATTTCTGATAATCTGTGCAGCGTGAGGTCTGACATTATCTTGCATTAGTAAGAAATTTTCACCATTACATGTTGCTCCAGAATCTCCAATATGTATCTTTCAGCTGGAATAGTTCCATTTTGTATGACCACTAGGCCCGTACATGGGGTCAAAGAAATACCACCCTACACCATAACGGATCCTCCACTAAAAAATGTGGTGTGTGAGAAGTTACACTGACCAGTGAGCATATCGTTCTTGGGGTCGTCGCAACACACGAACACGTCTGTCGTTATTGTACAAACAAAATCGGGATTCATCAGTAAATAGCACTCGTTCCCAGTCAGCCTCTAACCAATTAACGTGTTCTCTGGCAAAATGTAGTCTCCTCCTTCGATGCTCTGCGCTCTGCAGTTAATAGAGGACCTCGGCGTCAATCCGGGTGTTAAGTTGTATTCCTTAAGTCGTTGGTGAACAGTTTCAGTACTAATTTGTATAGCATGCACGTCTCGAAGCTAAATTTGTAGACTTCGATGTGTTACAAAACGTTGTCGAAGAACAGAAATTCTTAAACATCGATCTTGAACAGGGGCGGTTACCCGGTTTCATTCTTGCCTTGGTCTACGAGTTCCCCCAGGGCATGATCCCCTGTTTCGAGGAATCTTTCTAACACCTGTGAGACGGATGTGTGGAACGCACTAAACCGATGACCAAATTATCGGTCACTCCAATCTTCTTTTATTCCGTTGTCCTTCTTTTATTCCTTTTACCCCTTCGGTTAGGTATTTTGTTTGTTCCGTTAAATTTTGCATTATTTTTAAGAGCTGATCAATTTTGCTCTTATCTTTCTGTTGCTTGAGAAGAATTTTGGTGATTTTCTTGCTCTTGTTGAAAATATCTCCATCTTCCTTTACACTTCTCTGTTTGCTGTCCTCTGACGTATAATCATCGTCGCTATCCATTTTTTCTTCTTTAGATGCTTTTTCTTCTACTTTCCTATTTATATCGTATTTACTCTATTATAGCAAACGATAAGCTCGAGTTCTCCAGTCGACCCGTCGGAAGCTCTAGAACTTCTCAAGCAATAATTGAGTATAAGTTTAAAAAGTTAAAAAAAAAAATCAAAAACAAAAAACTATCTAGGTTGTGTAGTCGATAGTCAGATCTATGCAAGGTTAATGATTGTTCACTGATTTTGCCGCCTGAATTGAGAGCAAGTTTTTATTTTGAAAATAAATGGTTTTCCTATCAATTTAACCTATAACATGAAATTTTAGATTTAAGTTTTGGGAGCAAATATGAGGCATTTGAAATACTCTAAAAAACGCTAAATTTAAACTTTTACATTACAAACGATCTAAAACATTTAAAACTGATTTTTTTTAATTACACTAGTACACTTGTTAAAACTAATAATTTCTGCTACATATTACACTCAAAACCATCTTCTTGGAGGTATTTCCCGTGACTGCGATCGTTTATAACGTTAAAGTTCACAACTCCAAATTCAAATTTCATGATATAGGTCATGAATATTTGTTCTTATTTATTAAAATTTCACTATAACCGGTCAATTAAAGTGACAAATTTAGTTGATCTTACGAAAATTGTAAAAAATAGCAAAAATCGCGCAAAGTTTATTTACTAAACAGATTTATAGAAACATACTTCATTAGCAGCAAAATACAAATTGCACTACAAAACTGCACTCTTCATTCTTAAGATGCATTTTGATTTTTGTCGATATGATAATCTGATCAAAAATATCGAATTTTTAATGTCCACTTGGAACATATTTTATTTCACATTGATTTCGCGCGAGCAGCTGACCTTCAAAATCGCCAGTCGTTTCAATAATTGTTTCTAAGAAAATGGTTTATTTTACAGAAAAAGTGCTAAGTAACTTTTTTGTCTAAAATCATCTCAGCTACATTTTTAATTTCAAAATAAATTTTTTATGGCGTATAGGTTCTTGGTAAATCTATTTTTTTGAGTTTTTTCCTCTGGTAGAGGGGAAAGGGATTTTAGGGGAAAGCCCAGGGATAAAAGTGGTAAACTTTTTTGCATCTTTTTTGGAGTTCCAACATTTATATTCTTGGCAAAATTCAGTTGGTTCGTATGATTTTTAAGGGTCAAATTTTGGACGATTGGACCATCAACTCTGTACTATAATGGAATATTGATGGACTATTCCATCCCTTACTTTTGCTACAGATCATTCAATCAGAATAATTCTTAAAAATGATATGACAACTTTTAATAAACTAACCTTTGCGCTGGTGAAGGAGTGGCAATCTTGGTAAAAATTATTGAACCCTGAACCATTTTCACACTTAACAGATCTCGAAGTAATTGCGATAGACAAACCACATAGGAACAAACTACTGAACCACATAGAAAATTCTATCTCTGTCGTATTTATTAGCCATCTAGCAGTTAGATACGAAGATCCTCGCAAACTTCTTGATCTGATATTCACACCACGGCTAATTTTAGCTGAATTGTATAGCGTTATTATAATTTGAAGCCTATAAATTAGAAATTTAAGAGACCAAATATTAGAAAACATTATAGATTTTCATCTAAACTTTTTAAATCATGAGAACCCTACTAAATTTATTATATGGATGGGTGAATCATCAGTTCTTGATATTTCTCTCTGTGATCCTAACTTAACCACAGACTGGGAAGTATATACATGTAGAAATGATTACTTCCTGATAGTTAATACGAATCTTAACCATATGAAATAACATCAAGGATGTACTCCAAAATGAAAAACAAACAAAGCAGATTAGGATACATTTTCTTGATATATCGATATCAACGCCCAAATAACCAATTGTATTGACAAAACCATAAATCATTAAATGGCATAATCATAGAAAGACCTGTATTGCACATTAATAAAATAAAACAAATACATAGACACTAGTAGAAGAGGTAAAATAACAGTAAGTCTGCCTTTAATAACTGTAAAAATCAAAACAAAATTACATTCAAAAAATTTTAGGCAAAAGCACAGCTTAATATAACACAAGCTAAAAGAAATTCACAGCCGAAGTTTGTGTCGGAAATAAATAACACAAGTAACTCTAAGGAAGTCTGACGAAAAATTAAAAATATTTATGGTACTGCACAGAGAACTTTTATTAAGCACTTGAAGTACAAAATAAAATTATATCTACAGATCAAAATATTGCAAACTTTATGCGGATTTTACAAAAGCCTCTTTTACGAAAAAAATCCCCGAGTAGACTCTTCACACTCATCATCTGAAACCAATATTTGCTCTTCTTAATAACGCATTTCTTAATAAAGCATATAATACTCATCTTAAATTCAAGAACTTAATACAGCACTTTTCAAACCTTACCGATTTTTGCCCTGGACCCGAATGATATTCCAACCATATTTCTAAAACATCTTCCTCGATCAGCCGAATATCATTTACTTGATACATTTAATTTTATATTCAACATAAACTAAAATAAATTTTTACGCCATTTTCATAGACAAAAAATCACAATACAATGTGGAATCATACTGTTCAACCTAAACTATTACTTGTTAGATGTGCTAACTTATACAAAACTTCGTTAAACTTAGATTAAGCTGGATATTGGACAAAATTGGATTACTGATTACCGAGCAAAATATATTTAGACAGAATCGATTAACGGCTGATATCATCCTTTAACTAAAGCAATATATTTTTCCAACTAATAGAGAATGTACTGCGATATTGTTTGACTTGAAACATCCCTTTAATACTGTTAGGACACACAGTATTCTAAAAAAATTGTGTAAGTGGAACATCCGGGAAAACTGTTTATTGTTCACCAACAATTTTTTAACAAATAGGTCGTTTCGATTGAGAGTATCGAATTCTTATAATTGTGTATTGTGTATTGTTTAAATAATTACAGTGCATATTGAAAATGGCAAATCTCTGAAACGGTGAAGAAATAATGTGTTGTATTTATAACATAACGCCAAACCTACGAATTAAAAAAGTTTCTATATATTTATATATATATATATATATATATATATATATGTATATATATATATATATATATATATATACAATATAAATTATTATTTTTACTTACTGAATATTTCCATTGAAGTCCTGTTCCAAGAACAATTCTTTGATTGTAACATTGAACAATCCAGAGATGTTCATCCATTTCCAGGAGAGATCAAAGTCAAACACTGCATAAGGGTCGGAATCCTTGTTTAATTGTGTTGCAGTCAAATTCCATTGCGGGAGACCATCCCAAATGAAATCGTGGAAATCGAATGAGGCACTAAATAAAATGATGGTACGTGTTAGAAAAATTGTATTGACCAAGAAAACTTTAAAAGAGTACAATTTAAATTCGGGATAAACATGTTGTGTACTTTTTTGTTTGTTATTATTAAAAAAAAACATTAAAAAATAGCTGGAACAAATTGGAAGTATGTTGCTTAAGATGGAGATCGATGGCAGGATTTGGGAAAGGCCCATCTTCAAAAATAGACGATAGAAGGCTAAGAAGGAAAAGAAGAAATTAGAATAGTAACTTAAAATAAATTATCCATTAAATTGTATTATCCATTATACATTAAAATATTTCATAAAATGTAAAAAAATCTTAAAAATGTAATAATCATCACTACGAACTAAATAATTAAAATTAAAAAAAAAAACAGAAAGTAGATAATTCGAGTTACAATGTCAAAAGAAAAGAGTGTCACAGGCAGCAGCAATGTTGTCTCTACTGTATAAGATATACACAGCAGACATACCTAGAACATCAGATACACTACTAAGCCTCTATGCCGACGACACAGCGATAGCGGCCAAACACAGAAATGTAAACATAGCGGTAAATAACTTACAAACAGCGCTAGATGACATAGAAGAATGTACAGGCAGAAAAACAGAGGCTGTACTTTTGAAAAAGCGGCACCAACCACCAGAAGAACAGGTAACTGTGCAAGACAATCCCATGGAGTGAAAAAGTGAAGCAAAATACTTCGGAGTAATCATGGACAAAGGCTTAAGGTTTATCAAATATATGGAAGCTACAGTACAAAAAGCTAACATGGCAAGAGCATCAATAAAAGGCATAGCAGGAAGAAAAAGCAAACTTAGACTGAAAACAACAAAATTAATAACTAGCATAATTCTTCCTATATGCAGCTCTCGCATGGGGATATGTATGCAATACATCAAAAAAGAAAATACAAGCGGCACATAAAAATAGCCTGAGAGAAGCAGTCAATGTACCGAGATACGTAGCAGAAGGATTCCTTTTTCTAGAACTACAATAAATCAGAGTGACTGACGCAATGAAAGAAAAAGCTAGGACAAAGTTCGCGGAGATAGAGAACCACCCCAGTCACATATTGCGAGAGATAATAAGGTACGACGCTTTCCACAAATGAAAGCACAAAAGACCCAAACAACAAATGGTAGAATAAAATCATAATACTAGTACTAGAGAGAAACTCAACAATCACACCAGAGAAAAAACAAAGCACCAGAGAGAAAACACTTCAAATAAACACAACAACGCACAATGAAGTTAGTTCGTAGCTCATAACACTCGTGGACAATCGCAACGTACAGCGTGAACCCAGTTAATTTTAAGTAGTTAGTTTATTATATAAATATGCACTAATTCTGATTTTATGTTTCAGGCATCCTACAAAAAAATCCAATAAAAAACAAAAAAAAATCGGCTTCGGCCACCAAAAAAATCAAAAAACTACAAACAAAAACCGGTACAAGCCACAAAAAAATATTATCAAGTACCATTAAAAACCCGAGCATGTAGGGCCCAACTCCTTGAGCACCAAGTCGCCGAACTGAGCCTAGCTAAGAGTAAAAACTTGAAGCCCAAGTAAGCCATTTTAGTTTGCGGATAAGCCACATTAAGATAGTTTACCGAGTTTTGAATTCAGTTAAGAAACCATGTTAGGATTCTATTACCCAGGACCTCCACATGAAGAGCGTTTAGCTGATACTTGTGCCCCTATCGTGCATCAGAGTGCTATAGGGGTGAAAGGGATGGTCTGGAGCATTGGATCACGGTGGAGTGACTTCTGTTTTTTACTCGAGTTCATACACCTCGCTCCAATGAATTGTTACACCCGAACGTAATTCTTGGGGGTGAACATTTATCACAGGCTGGAATTAATTAAATTGCTTGCTTGCTTGCAGAAAAAATGTCACAAACAAATTATTTCAAGAGGAAAAATGACTAGGGAAAAAACAATAAAACATATGTAGCAATAAAAATGCCAGCGAGAAAAGGTAAAAGGAACTATGTTGAGGAATTGCCAAACATTTTAAAAGGGCTGCCAGAAAAATGACCTAAACACATAATACTTAAACATAAGAAACTTTTCAGGGAAACACTTGTCCTAAAAAATAGTTAACACATCAAAGTTAATTTAAGAAATATAATTAAATTATAACAAGAAAACAAAAACCAAGAAAATAAACGTAAGTGCAGCCGAAACTAATAGAATAAGTAATCTAAGATACGATACCGTCAGAGGATTTAATAGAAGTCGACAAAAATGAGTTAGTCAAGGTGCTAGGGAATTTATTCAGTCCAAGTCACCTTCTCTGAAATTTCCATCAATTAGCATTTCCTATAAACGTTTTCCATATTGCAGCAGTTCTTTCTCTTCGTGTTGTTCTCGGTGGATCCGTCCAATATTCTTGCTGGTCACCTGTGCACCACTGCAGTGCTTTCTTTTCCAACTTTTTTGTCATCGATCATTCTACTTTTATTCTGTTCCATATTTCCCCTGTCATTATTCTATCTTCTTTGGTGATTTGTAGACATCTCATAAAGTCCAATTTAACTGGTCTTATTTTATTTTGATGTTGTAATTAGCCATACTTGCGCTCCATATAAGGTACCATTGATGATAAGGTAATATTGATCATTCTGCTCTGAAAGATCCTTTTTTTTATTTCCTTTGGTTAGAGTATTGTTTTATACCATTCCATGGACTATTCGTTGCTTGTTTTGACACATGAGGAAGTAACGATTAGTTAAACAAATTTTATTTAAAAATTTGTTTAATTTTGTTTGTATTTTGAGAACGATTTCTGAAGTGGAAATTGAAACGTCAAGTTACGATTAGTGTCAGAATAGATGTGGAGGAAATTGATAAATTTCATGTAATTACACCAGGTGCTTAGTCCTTATATATGCTTATTATTGTTGGATCAGAGGACAGTTAAACTACAGGGTAGCAGTCCTGGATGCTTAATAGTGTAGATGTAGTGTTAATAGGAAATACTAAAAGAAATTTAAAACAAAACTTGAATAGTAGAGATAAACTCTTAAGGAAAAAAGTTTAATGATTGTTAAAAGTAATAACTTTATGTATCTAGGATCGGTATTACGTAAGTAATGGGGACATATATGAGGATCTATACCGTAAAATTACAACTGCAAATGCAACACTGGTATGTTGTATGACAAAAAGATTCCAATAAAACTGAAAGAAAAATTCTATAAAACTACCATTAGATCAGCTATAATGTGCGGAACTGAATTTTGGGGCGTTAAAAACAGAGGAACTGTTACATGGATGAGTAAAGTATCAAAAAAGAATAAAATTAAGAATGTGTATACTAGGGAAATTCCAGAGGTGGCATTAATTGATGCCTATGAGAAAGCATAGGTTAAAATGATTCAAGCGTATTTAACATCGAGACGTCAGTCGCCTAATACAAACTGCTGATTTGTAAGTTCCTGACAGGAGTAGGAGAGGAAAACCAGAGACGACCTGAGAAGAACAGATAGGATATGTATTTTATTATTTGTATGGCCTAAGATAACGGCAAAATAATAATGGTAAGATAGTTCTTGGATTGATCAAAATGGATTGGGCATATACAAAGAAAACCTAAATTCAACATAGCTAAACAGATACTCCAGTACCAATCTGACAAAGAAGACAACAAGAGGCCGAATAAAGCTGGCAAAGGATCACAATAAAAAATATTAATAAGTTAGATTCAGTTGGTCAAAAATTAAACAACAAGCAAAAAATTGCAATCCTCCATTAGGAGGGATGTCACCAGATTTTAAGAAATATATTTGACAGCGGAATTTCTACATAAAGAAAACTACATGCTTCCCAACTATGTATATAATGAAAAATTATACACCTAGATTTTCAATTATTAATAACTTAATAGAATTTTGTACGAAATAGCCCGATTTTTGTATAAAAAACCTAGTACCTTGCAACTCCTATATCTCCAGTCCATGAAAAGTTGCGGGTGATATAAACGGGACTGTGACTTGGAATATCTAGTTCTGGAACTCCGTTCGTGATAGCTCTTTTAGCACAAGACATGATTCTAAGACCTGCATCCAAGTCAGAAGCTGCAAAAAAGTTATGTTTTAAAACTTTTATAAATAATATCGCTCATTAATTTTTAAAGTTTACGAAGCACAATGAAATCGTGATTAATAAGAAATTTATTAATACGAAACCTACCTCTAGTAGATAACATAAAACTAGAGAGGTGATAATTAAAGAAGAATATTAGGTGGAATGGGGAAATTGTATAGAATTAACATAGATTTAAAAAAAGTATACAGGTGTTTATTATATAATAAATAAGGAGCCATTAAAGAAACAGTACGTAAAACAAAAATTTAGAAACTTAAGATATATAAACTTAAAACAATTAAAAATAAAGGCCATACTTAAACGAAAAACATGAATGAAATATAAAACTGGAGATATAAGACGAAATTAGTAAATCAAAAATAAGAAAACGTTTATTAAAAATGAAAAATAGGAAGGCACCCAAAAAATTTTCAAAAGGGGAAGATATACATGGACATTACACAATGAATACTACAATTTCACATAGAATATATAAGAGAAGAAAAAGAGACAGAAAGACTTTACGATGACGTAGTTTCATTTCAAAAAGAATAAAAATTAAAACAATGTATCATATTATTTGATTAATAACAGGACATAAGATATTAGAGGTCAAATTAAGATATAAGAAATAAGAAGTCACAAGAAACAAAATAAAAATTTACCTTCGGCCACAAAGGCCATAGCAACAACAGCCAATAGTTTCAATGCAATCATGATCTTGCTTTCACAACTGGAGAAACGCTAAATTGAGGCGATACAACTAAATACATCAATTTATATAGTTGAGAGATTTTTTTATTTAATGCAATAATCAAACTACTCGACCTTTATGAAAATAGTTTTTTTATTTTAAAATCACTTAAAAGTGTGTCGATTTATTCCATGATCTACTGGATATGAGATTGAAGATAAGTGTCTATTTTTATATATATATTTTTTTAAGTTAGATATGACTTACTCACGTGATTTTTATTCGTCGTGAATGTGAACAGATGATATTGTTAATATGATCATATTGTTGTAAAGTTTTGAGGTCTTTCTGTGTTAATAATTGCCTTTGGTATTATTTTCTCTTCTTTTTTCTCTTTTTATATAAATTTTATTCGTCAAAAGTGTTTTTTTATTTGTTCTATTTATTATCCATTATTCTATTTTTCTTCCATTTATTTTCGCGTTTACATTGATAGATCTTAGTACTTACATAAAGGATTCACTATTTATTTTAAGTGTTTATGTAGACATTTTAACATTTCACCTTATCTCATTTTCAACAATTTTTTTACACCGGTTTTTAAGTCCAGGCTGAAAAAAAGGTTTATTTGTTCAATTTGTATTATTAGTATTATTCCTAAACTAATTAAAAATATTATTATAGATCTGTTAATACCAATTTTTTTAGGTCCACTGATCAGTTTGAGTTTCGGCACATAGATCTTCTGAATTAATTGTTAATTTCTTGTTCTTAAAATGCCTGTTCAGTGTCTTGGTTCACATTGATTTTGTATGCATTCGACTGGACGAATCTTAATATATTGTTATATAAACTTGAAATATTGAGAGTACATTGTCCTTTACAAGGAAACTGCCAACATTATGTTAGATGAACACTCGACAGGGGCAATCTCTTTAGATAAAGGAATGAGACAAGGGTTTATTCTGTTTTCTGTTTTATTTAACATGAACTCTGAATATATCTTTGAGCAAGCTTTGGGAGAACTACAGGAAGATGTATTTTTAAAGTAAAGTAGATGAAAATCAGTAAGCACGAAATATTAAATATACGGCTTTTGGTTAACCAACAACCAATTATCGGGTAAACAGCTATACATACCTTCATACCAACACAAGTATCCTGCTGCTTGAACATTTTAATTTGTAATAAAATATAATGTAACAAACTTTTAAATTAACAACATTTAACGGGTTTTTACCCCTATATTTTAGTGGCTCATAGCATATACTTCGTTACACTGATGATGGAATTTTTATTCCGAAAACGTTCTGTAATGTAATAGTGATAAATATTTTTTTTATTGCAAATCTTTTATAAAAGATTTTCAATAAAAAAATATTCGGTAGGAGTTCTGGCGATTTAGTATACGTTTTAACAACAGGTAGATATTTTATAAGGTTTTCAGATCTTGTTCTACCGTTTTTGTTTGGTACCGCTTTCAGCCATTTACTTCCATTTTTTTCTAAAAAGTTTGTACTTACATTTGGACTTCCATCTTTATCTGAGTTGACTGTGATATCTGAAACGTCAACATATTGAACGTATGCCCGTCTAAGTATGCTACAGCACCTCATAGCCCTTCAGTCTCTGGACATATTACGTTTACTCACTTCCGGAATGTAAATTTCCACAGAATGAGAGGCTATAATGAATTCTTTAATACCTGAAACGTACAAATATCAAGTGGTGGCGTAGTAACTTATGTCTCTAAGAATCTACAAGCAACACAACTTAAAATATAATTATGAAGTTGTGGCTTTCAGAAAACGGACACAAGGAGTCGAATTCTATCTATATTCAGCGATTATAAAGTATTCACTGCCTCCCCTCGCTCAACCGTTTTCATCTCTCTCCATTGTCACATTTTCCATCGGTTAGGCCTCTCTTACTCATAGCGACGTCAACTTCGTTCTTCCAGGATCTTCGGGGTAGTCCTCGTTTCCTCCTTCCTATAGAGCTCCGTTCGGTTATTCTCTTTATTTGTCTGCTGTCCCTAGTTCCTCTTACATGTCCATATCACCTTTGTCTTTTTTTCTGTGTGTGTTAGTATGTCTGATTTTGATGTTTTTTGCTTTATTTTGTCTTAGTTCTCCTATCCATTCTTTTTACTCTGCAGCATTTTTGCAGGTATTTCAAGTCTGTTGCTACTATCTTGTTTCTGTTTTTCTTGTTTATACTAAAATTTTCAGCCCTATATTTCATAATACTTCGCACCAATGTTTTATAAACATGTGTTTTTGTTTTAATATTTAAGTGTCTATCCCACTGAGTTACTGTTGTCGGATTGCTGTTCTTGTTTGTCCTAATCTTTATGTAATTTCTTCCTCTGTTGTTGCCTTTTTCGGGATTATAAACCCCAAGCATTTAAATGTATCCTTTTCTTTTATTTTTCTGTTGTCATCAATCTGTAGATTTTCTATGTCTTCTTCACTTGTAGAATCATAGATCATAGGTAATCTGTTTTCGCGAGGTTAATATCTAGGCCAGCCTTGGTATCTTTTTCTTGTAGTTTCTTTATGTAGTTTCTCGATGTAGTTATTATGATTTACTTTGATGGTACACAAGGCAAATATCAAACACAGTATTAAATCAAATCTTGCCCAACTACTTTCGATCACAAGATCATCCTCAGGGGCATCTGAAATAAGCCAAGAAACGTTTTTTTTTTTTTTAAATGAAAATAAATTCACTTGGATAAAAACTCCAATAACTCCATATAAACTCTATAAAAAGTTTATAGTTGAAAAAACTTTTTTATGTGATTAACGTTTATAGACTTACTTCGTCAGTTGTGGCCTATCCAGCAGTAATAGAATGTTATAAATGTAAATTGGGACATAACAAATACACTAAACAAAGACAAACAAACACTTAAAAATTTAAGAAATGGAGAAGCTACATTTTATATAGAAGCCGGAGACAGAATGGCTCCCAGCCTGGCGGAAATATTGAGATGACATGTGACAAATGACAGCTTGTGAAGGGCAGTTACAATGGATAAGTGATCTGCGCCTTTCAAGATTCTATGAAACTAAGTATTGATCAAAGGTCCAACTGACACCACTATAGGAAATCAACTGATGAAATATAAAATTATATCGAATATTTTTATGTAGATTGAATAATCCAGATCTCACACTCAAACCTGTCTATAATAATTAAGATGTTAGTTTGAGAGCAATTGAAGTTGACATAAAGTATGAATGTAAGAAATAGACTAAACAATGTATTAGACAGTGGATAGTTGATTACAATAAAATGGTCCACTAAGCGCTATCAGTACTGTAAAAAGAAAATCTGAATATTCAGTTGAATTGCTAAAAATTAAAATCAAAATTAAAAGCAAAATATAAAAATGGGTTATAATCCAAGTAGTTCAGTTGAATCCACAGTCAATGGAAGAACTTTTAAATTAATATGTAAATACTCAGTGCATGAAGTCTAAACAGTCGAGCTGGGCCCACTACGAGATGGAGCTGTAATAAAGTTTTTAAATATAGGATTAAATTTAGTACAATTTAAATTAATTTGAGTATTAAGACAGTGGGAGTTTTCATTTGTTTCCCTTGTAATCTCCAAATCTTCCAATAAATCCAACTCAAGATAGTTTTTCTTTCTACTAATGTCATGTAAGATAGATGAACCAGAATTGATGTTAAAATTGTGGTTGCTGGATACTAAGTGTTGACCAAAACTTGAAGAATTTGGTCTTTTCAAATGTTCAGAGACTCTAGTGGATAACTTTCTGATGGTTCTACCTACATAAGAGGCATCACAATCATCACATTTTAATTTGTAAATACCACTTTTATCAAGTGTATTCATCCTATCTTTGGTATTGATTAAGAAGGAACCTAAAGTGTTATGTGATTTAAAGGAAATTTTGATGTTATCAATTGTAGAAGTAAAAAGTTTAGATATTTTATTGGAAATGCTGCTAATATAAGTGAAGGAGAAATATCTGATGTCATCTGAAACATTAGGTTGAAAAGACTGTGATGAATATGCAAGGTTTTCTGCAATTTTTAGTTTAGTTTTATTTAGAAGTTTGTATATAATGTTAGGATCATAGCCATTATTGACAGCAATCTGCTTAAGAGTATTGAGTTCTGTATTAAAATTATCATCAGAAAGAGGAAATTTAAGTAATCGATGAATGTAACTGTTGAAAGCAGCCATTTTATGTTGAGTTCGGTGATTAGACGTTCCATGTATAGCGTGATCTGTTTGGGTGGGTTTTCTATAAATGTTGTACTCTAAAGAATCTTTGTTACGGGATATAGTCATATCCAAGAAGTTCAACTTATTGTCAGATTCTGGTTCCAGAGTAAAAGAGATGTTAAGATGGAGGTTATTAAGATCATCCAGAATCTGTAGAGCATCATCTTGGGTTCCCTGAATGAAAACTATACAATCATCCACATATCTTGACCAAAAAACTATTTTGTTGTTGTTGTTAACAAACATCTGTTTTAAGCTGTCTAAGAAAATATCGGCTAGAAAAGGTGATAATGGAGATCCCATTGCTAAACCTGTTGGTTGCTTATATATCTTTTGGTTGAATTAAAAGAAGTCCTGATCAAGACAGAATTTAAGCGTAGTTGATATAGTATCTTTATCCTTTGCAGATATGTTGCAATTGTCTAGAAGGTTGTGTACTAAAGGTAAAGTTTCATCTCTTGGTACAGAAGTACACAAATTGGAAACATCAAAAGAAACTAAATAAAAACCCTCTTCTATCCTAGTGTTATTTAAACGTTCTATTAGATCTAAAGAATTTTTGATGGAGAACTTAGGTTTAAAATTAGTGATATACTGAATTGTGTTGTAGATGAACTCTGATAAAATAGAAACTGGAGTGTTACAAAAACTTACTACATGCCTTATGGGACAATTGTGTTTATGGATTTTAGGAACTCCATATAATCTAGGTGTTATAGGATTAGATATAGTTAACTTTCTGTTGTTATATTTAGTAATAGTGTCATTAAACAATTTAACCATTGCTTTTGTTTTATTAATAAAGGTG